TATCTGATACAGATAAGCTTCAATAATTTTTATCTGCTTAGGTCGAGTATATCCTTTGTCTTCTAATTGTCATAGTATCTTGGTTAGTTGGTCTTTTCAAGTTCTACCGATAAAAGGGTTCGGGTGAGTATCTGATTGAGGAGTTAAGGTTTGGGTTAGTTCGTCTTGAACTTTTTGGTAAACTTCAGTGTCTGGTTCAGTTTCTGGTTCGAGAGGAGTGGTGGTTAAAGTTGAGTCAATTTCTGGTTCTTCTGTTAGAAAGGTATTCAAGAGGGTATCCGTGTTGATAGGTTCGGATGGGAGGTTCACTGTGGTATTTACTAGCATAGTAATGTCACTAGTATCGTTAGAGTTATTAGAGTTCTACAAGAAAATACTTTGAGAACAAATTTCTAAATTATTTTAGGCAGCGGGATCTTGTCTCCAAATAGTAAGAAAGTATTGAAGGGCTTGGATAGTTACAGGTTGCAAAGTGGTGTTGTGCATTGTTAATTATGTATAAATTAGGGAATTTTTAAATAAGGAGTCTATTTATAATTTTTAAAGTGATACAATTGTCTGTTTCGCAAAATTTTGTCTTTGTCTCTCCCCGTCCAATAAAATTTCTTTCAGAAATTAAGGATTTTCGATGACAATGATTAGTTCTCATGTCTGTTTCTCATAATACTTTGCCAAACAGTCACTATTATAATACTTCTGTAAAACTTTTCCTTCTAATATTCGTAGCTTATAAGCATCATTATTCATCTTAGCCTGAATAATGAATGGTCCTTCCCTTTTGTCTTTAAATTTAGCTAATCTTGACTTCTTTAAAGCTTTTAATTGTATCCAAACTTTTTCACCAATTTTAAATTCTTCTGGTCTAATTCTAGCATCAAAATATTCTTTCTGTTTCTGTTGTGACTTCTTAGTATTAACTCGAGCTTCTTCTTGTGTTGCAGCTATTTTTTCCATTAGTTTATAAGCGTGTTGTAACACACTATTCTGGAGATCAATTACTATATCAGGGTTTGGCATAGGTTTAGTAGAGATAATAGTTTTGATCGGTAGAGTAGCTTGTCTACCATACACTAGTTGAAAAGGTGTATAACCAGTGGTAGTATGTCTCTTGGTCTGATATGCTAAGAGAACAGCAGATATGTTTATATCTCATTCATCAGTTCCTTTAACCTTTGTGAGTGATTCGCAAAGTGTTCTGTTAAGACGCTCAACCATTCCATTAGTCTGTGGATGGTATGATAAAGAGAACTTGTGTTTGATAAGGAACTTTTCACATAATATTTGGATAGTTTCACTAATAAAGTTTCTTCCTTGATCTGACAGAATTATCTTGGGGTTCCATGTCTACAGATAATTTTTTCGAAGATAAACTTTGCTAAAGTTTCTGCTCCGGCATCCAGTACGGCTTGGGCTTCTGGCCATTGGGTTAAATAGTCTGTTGCTACAATAATATAGCGATTGTTCTGTTCGGTTATAGGTAGGGGTCCAACTAAATCAATATCAATTCGTTCGAAGGCTCATCCGATTTGTATTAGGTGTAAAGGTTCTTTTCTTCTGCCTTTTTGTCTTTTCTGGCATTCTTCACATGTCTGTACATATTCTTTAATGTC